CATGGCATGAAACTTACACTTCTGTTCATACAGCAATTATCTTACCTTATAGCATTCTGCAATTGGGGGGATGGGAAAAAGCGCTTTTTTTGTTTTGTTTTGTTTTGTTTTGTTTTTGGTTCAGCATATCTTGGAACATTAGAAAGCTTATTAACCTAAATGTGTGGGGAGCAAAACAGATAAGGCATTTTTTTTTTGCACAACGCTAGCATTCAAAATAGTGCAAATGAATTGGGTACCTCTTTCAAAATGGTGTGAGGTTAAATGTTTACTTAGAATCAAATTTACTTTATTCTTTCTATGGCTTGACAAACAATTCCCTACATCACAAGCTCTTTACAGTAACTAACTTAGCCCTCATCTGGAAATGGTGCTGTACTTGAAAGTGAAATCAACGGTGGAAATCAACTTCCCGCTTTTCCTTATGACCAGGAAAAAGGCTATGCTTTTTAATCAAATGAACTCTTATGATTTTTACTCACCCCGAGATTGAATACATGTATGACTTAGGTTCACTGTTACCTATTTGATATATGCAACGGTGAGTTAATCCACCCAAAATAAAGAGGATAATCTGGTTTCTCAGAAGCACCAAATTTTAACAAAATACCTCTCCCCCATACCAACATCTCCCCTTCCCAGGGCTATCCAATTGTCAAAAGGTTAAGACTTACTTTAGCTTTAAAAAGTAAAAGGGGTAATAGGGATAAATTCTGTTGACGTGTTTAATTATTTGATACTTGCATAGCAAGACAGGACATCAATCCTTTCTGTGTCGAATCTTCTGGAAGACTTGAACTTAATGGCAGAGCTCTAATATTTATTTATTTAAAATATCAAAATTCTTCCCCACCTAAGTGGAAAGGGGTTAACATTAAAATGCATTATGTAAAGGAATACTGATAGCAATAGGTTGGGAGGAAAATGGGGGTTCTTCCATATGCCCATATTTCTGTAACTCATTGCTGCTGCTTAAACTTTCTTTTATCTCGTTCATGCCTGACTTGCATCTATACGGAATTCCAAAAATCACAGGCTCCTATAACTAACCATTGTTATAATACATATGCACTCTACTCAGTGCAAGAACAAAACAGTCTCTTCAAGAACTGTTAATGTTATTATTGCTGATAGCTTACTCACTAGTTATTGCCATTTGCAACTATTCTTTTAAAAAAAGGTACGTAATCAGAATGTGAGCTCCCTCTTCCATCAAATCTAGTCCAGAATAGAATGAAATTATTTTATTTTCTTGGTTGAATGTAAAGAGCAAATCACAAATGTATTGCCTTTTCATTTTATTCTATTTAAAAATATATATTCCTATGTCCATTTTAAAGTAACCTTTAGTGTCAGAAGCCTGGATTTCCCAATACATACCATTAGTGCATAAGTGGTTCTTTGGGAAATCCTGCTGACTAGTGCCTTAAAATTATCATTCCCACGTGAATTGTCATAATTTCAGGACAGGTGATTAACGCTAAAGCTGCTTCGTGGATCATTCCACAAGGTACATGAGGCCATAAACCTGTCCCTCTTCTCAGAACTGGATAAACTACTATCAAGATGAAATCAGAACTGAAACAGAAACTACACCAGATCAGAAAAGCTTAGAAGTTTTCTCCAAGCTCAATCTGAGTTTTATCATACTGTTAACGTTGCATCAGCAGGCAGCTACAGCTCTCAACTGTCCCTTCATTTTTCTCCAGTACTCATGGTTAAAACTGACTACTTGCTGCATGTACTTACATGTGAACTCACTGGAGTTTTGGAAGGCTCAGAGCTGCCATATATACTCAATACAACAAAAACATTCTGCAAACAAATAGGATTTAAAGACTTATCACAGTCCAAGAAAAGTGACTATTTGTAATGGGTTTAGCAGTGCAGGATGGTTAAATAACCATATATGATTTAGGACACACTAGGTAAATTAAAAGCTTGTGCTTTTTTGGGAGGCAGGGAAGAGAAACAAAATCTTATCAGTGCTGTTCAGCTAAACAGGGACAGATGGAAACTACCCCACTTCCAAAGTGTTTAGTGAAATCTTTTAGTGTTCCATCACAGGCTCTATTTTAGTAGTGACGTCATTTTCTCTGCTTCCTCAAGAAAATTACAAATAAGGTTCAAATTTCTCACAGAAATGGATGTGGAGAAGGGGAGGAGACCAGTTTTAAGTGCATGTAAACAAGTTTATACAGCTCAGGAATAACAGGTTATCAAATTGTCAGTTTGCAGTCATCTCTAAGAATTCCCCCTCCTTCCTCACGCCAATAAATAATGTGGAGTTGGCTTGCAGGCAGTGACTCTACTGACCATGGTGCTGACAGTGTTTCTTACTGTCCAGTCAGGAGGCCAGGATGCTTCTCCTAATAATGTCTGTCCTCCTGCTGATAGTGCTATTTGGACTAAGTCTTTGCTGTCTGCACTTTTTCTCAGCCACTTCAGTTTCTGAGTCACTCAATTCAGCATCGGGGACATACCCATCATTCTCGCTGTCCGTCTTTAGTTTGGTTTTCACCCTGTCCTTAGGCGAAACTCTGCCCATGCCCAAGTACGGATAGTTAGAGTTCTGGCGGCAGGTCTCCTCCTGGATCTCTCCCTGCTGTTGTCTCTCCCCCTTCTTTGGAATTCGAAATCCGCCCCAGTTTTTCACCGGGCTCGTGGGCGTAGTAGGCACTTTAACTACAGTCTGGTTATAGTTTATTTTGATGAGGGATCCATTGCATTTAGGCACTATATCCCTCCGCGGGCCGGATGCAGACCTACCACTGGCGTGGTTCACAGACCGTTTGTTTTCTGTCTGTCTCTGAGACAGTTCCGTGAGTCTCAGTGGCTTGTGGTTGTGTTTCGAAGGCTTTTCCTTCAGTTCCTCCTTTAGTACCTCACAATGGAAACGATTGTCTCTTCTTTTCCTGTGGTCTGGCATAACTATCCCATTTTTCTGTTGTGCTGATACAATTCGTGTTTCTGTAAAGGTCTTTTCAAAATTTAAAAAGCTACCTGGATTGGAAACACCTTCCCTTTGGCTGGGGTGCTTGAGCAGGGATTTGCTGTCACTCCCAGAGCTGTTCCTTATTCGGTCTCTCTTATGTGACTTTTTCAATGACTGACTCAGAGAAGTGCCCATTCGCTTCCTGAAGAAAGCAGAGTGCCATTTCAAATCTTCTATCTTGGGAGCATCAGGACCCAAAGGTGGACTGTTGAATAAAACCATGTTTTCCACTGGGGAGGAGGAGGAAGGCACACCTAAAATAACACAAAAAAATACTTCAGTTTAACCAAAACAAGTTATTACTCTCTCATAACCTTTGAGTTTGACATCCTTTATACCCTCTTGACTTTTACCCTTCCTGTCTGAGACTTACTCTGCAGTCTGACCAGAATTTGATTCCAAAATCTACACAATGTGGCATGGTGTATGCAGTTTTTGTTCAACATATAGCAAGTGATACCAACCAAGCTTCAGTAATTCTTCTATCTTCTATCGTTCTAATTCTAGTCGGTTGCAATTTCCACGCTATCCACAAACACATGAACTAAGACGGGGTGCCCAACCGGCAGCACAGATGACACAAGTGACACAGGCAGCTTCTATGTGTGGCACACAGCAGATCAGGGAGGAGATAGGCACCACAGCAGCATATGGCAGAAAGCAGAGTAGCTTTTGGGCAGGGGAAGGGATGGGGGTGGCACTGGGGGAGGTGCCAGGTTAATTCATGGCATGCCTGCCAAAAAGGTTGGTCTCCATTGAACTAAGATATTAAATTCCTTAGGAAAAAATCTAGATGGGCAAAAAACTAACCAAGAATTTATGATTTATTGTCCCAGCTGATTATGATGGTACCATCTCTTCATCTGACTAATGGCTAACTCCTTTAACGATAATACAATTCACCTTTTCAATGCAATTTTTTTTCTGGCACGAGAAGGGACAATGGTCAGTGAGGTATAAGTGAATAGGAATACCTGTGCTGTTTAAAAAATCACTTTGCAGCACTCTTATTCATGCCACTTCAGACTTCAGACCACTCTGTAGCCTACAGACTGATTCAGTTCCAGGCTATACCTATGAACTACGTTAGAAGTAACAGGAACTTGCCTTTCCCTTGGCAACTCACAGCAGCATCCTTAGGTCCAACTCCCAAGTCCCTTCTGATGATATTTTACAAAGAATTTAACAGGGAAGAGAAAAGGTTTCTGACAAGCTAGTGCAGGGTACTGGAATGCAATTTTCCTCTTACTACAGATATAAAATGTCAAGTTATAAAAAATATGAATACAAATCCATTCAGAATGTTGTTACACTAACAAAACAACATGATATACACAGAGCTAGAATTTTACTTTTGTAATCTAAGCCAAAGAATTTGGGAAATAATCCATAATCACCAAAGAGTAAACAACAAATAAAATTAAATGAAAATCTGTTTAAGAACTGTGGCGGGTTTTTTTGAACAAATAGCTCATTTTCTTCTTAACTTCTTTAAAGGGAACTCATCCACTTGAAATCTACTCAATTTAAAAAGAAATAGGAAGTTAAAGCATATGAAGTATTATACCCACAGCTATGTCCGTACTGACTTTATTTGCTGTTTTGGCAGCATATTTTCTTTGTATTTTTAAAATGTTTTCTCTCCCCTGTTGTACAAAAGACCAACATAAACAAATCAAAATGAATAAACTGCCTGTGTAGG